AAACTCGTCAGTCTATTCTTGTTCTGAGAAATGAAGGCTATTCCATACCTCAGACTGGCCAATAAAAATAAAAGATTAAGATGGGCAGTCTGAGATATGGCTAGAAGGTCAGCATCCCGGAGTCGCCTCTTCACTGTTGACGTTGAGACTGGTGTTTTGTGGGTACTATTTAATGAAGCTGCCAGTTGACGACCTGTGAGGCGCCTGTTTCTCAAACTAGACACTCTAATGTATTTGTCCTCTTGCTCAGTTGTGCACCGGGGCCTTCCACTCCTCTTTCTATTCTTGTTAGAGCCAGTTTGCGCTGTTCTGTGAAGGGAGTAGTTCACAGCGTTGTATGAGCTCTTCAGTTTCTTGGCAATTTCTTGCATGGAATAGCCTTCATTTCTCAGAACAAGAATAGACTGACGAGTTTCAGAAGAAAGTTATTTGTTTTTGGCCATTTTGAGCCTGTAATCGAACCCACAATTGCTGATGCTCTAGATACTCAACTAGTCTCAAGAAGGTCAGTTGTATTGCTTCTTTAATCAGCACAACAGTTTTCAGCGCTGCTAACATAATTGCGAAAGGGTTTTCTAATGATCAATCATCCTTTTAAAATGATAAACTTGGATTAGCAAACACAACGTGCCATTGGAACACAGGACTGATGGTTGCTGATAATGGGCCTCTGTATGCCTATGTAGATATTCCATAAAAAATCAGCCGTTTCCAGCTACAATAGCCATTTACAACATTAGCAATGTCTACACAGTATTTCTGATCAATTTTATGTTATTTTAATGGACAAAAAAATTGATTTTCTTTCGAAAACAAGGACATTTCTAAGTGACCCCAAACTTTTGAACGGTAGTGTATGTATGTATGTATATATACACTGCTCAAAAAAATAAAGGGAACACTTAAACAACACAATGTAACTCCAAGTCAATCACACTTCTGTGAAATCAAACTGTCCACTTAAGAAGCAACACTGATTGACAATACATTTCACATGCTGTTGTGCAAATGGAATAGACAACAGGTGGAAATTATAGGCAATTAGCAAGACACCCCCAATAAAGGACTGGTTTTGCAGGTGGTGACCACAGACCACTTCTCAGTTCCTATGCTTCCTGGCTGATGTTTTGGTCACTTTTGAATGCTGGCGGTGCTTTCACTCTAGTGGTAGCATGAGACGGAGTCCACAACCCACACAAGTGGCTCAGGTAGTGCAGCTCATCCAGGATGGCACATCAATGCGAGCTGTGGCAAGAAGGTTTGCTGTGTCTGTCAGCGTAGTGTCCAGAGCATGGAGGCGCTACCAGGAGACAGGCCAGTACATCAGGAGACGTGGAGGAGGCCGTAGGAGGGCAACAACCCAGCAGCAGGACTGCTACCTCCGCCTTTGTGCAAGGAGGAGCAGGAGGAGCACTGCCAGAGCCCTGCAAAATGACCTCCAGCAGGCCACAAATGTGCATGTGTCTGCTCAAACGGTCAGAAACAGACTCCGTGAGGGTGGTATGAGGGCCCGACGTCCACAGGTGGGGGTTGTGCTTACAGCCCAACACCGTGCAGGACGTTTGGCATTTGCCAGAGAACACCAAAATTGGCAAATTCGCCACTGGTGCCCTGTGCTCTTCACAGATGAAAGCAGGTTCACACTGAGCACATGTGACAGACGTGAGAGAGTCTGGAGACGCCGTGGAGAACGTTCTGCTGCCTGCAACATCCTCCAGCATGACCGGTTTGGCGGTGGGTCAGTCATGGTGTGGGGTGGCATTTCTTTGGGGGGCCGCACAGCCCTCCATGTGCTCGCCAGAGGTAGCCTGACTGCCATTAGGTACCGAGATGAGATCCTCAGACCCCTTGTGAGACCATATGCTGGTGCGGTTGGCCCTGGGTTCCTCCTAATGCAAGACAATGCTAGACCTCATGTGGCTGGAGTGTGTCAGCAATTCCTGCAAGAGGAAGGCATTGATGCTATGGACTGGCCCGCCCGTTCCCCAGACCTGAATCCAATTGAGCACATCTGGGACATCATGTCTCGCTCCATCCACCAACGCCACGTTGCACCACAGACTGTCCAGGAGTTGGCGGATGCTTTAGTCCAGGTCTGGGAGGAGATCCCTCAGGAGACCATCCGCCACCTCATCAGGAGCATGCCCAGGCGTAGGGAGGTCATACAGGCACGTGGAGGCCACACACACTACTGAGCCTCATTTTGACTTGTTTTAAGGACATTACATTTACATTTTACATTTTAGTCATTTAGCAGACGCTCTTATCCAGAGCGACTTACAGGAGCAATTAGGGTTAAGTGCCTTGCTCAAGGGCACATTAACGTCATTTAGCAGACGCTCTTAGCCAGAGCGACTCACAAATTGGTGCGTTCACCCTATAGCCAGTGGGATAACCACTTTACAATTTGGGGGGGGGTTAGAAGGATTACTTTATCCTATCCCAGGTATTCCTTAAAGAGGTGGGGTTTCAAATGTCTCCGGAAGGTGGTGAGTGGACTCCGCTGTCCTGGCGTCGTGAGGGAGCTTGTTCCACCATTGGGGTGCCAGAGCAGCGAACAGTTTTGACTGGGCTGAGCGGGAGCTATGCTTCCGCAGAGGAAGGGGAGCCAGCAGGCCAGAGGTGGATGAACGCAATGCCCTCGTTTGGGTGTAGGGACTGATCAGAGCCTGAAGGTACAGAGGTGCCGTTCCCCTCACTGCTCCATAGGCAAGCACCATGGTCTTGTAGCGGATGCAAGCTTCAACTGGAAGCCAGGAGTGTCGGAGGAGGGGGTGACTGAGAGACCGGGAGGTTGAACACAGAGGCTGCGGCATTGATGAGTTGTAGGGGTTAATGGCCAGGCAGGGGCCAGCCACGCGAGTTGCATAGTCCAGAGGGAGATCAAGTGCTGATAGGACCGTGCCGCTTCCTGTGTAGGCAGGTCGTATCTCCGATTTGAGAGATGACTGCGGAGCGGTCCCGCTGATTGGCGGGAACGAAGGTTGTTGTCAGGTCACGCCTAGGCTCTTCGCATCGGGGGAGGACAGTGTCAACCGTATGTAAACCACCTTAAATCAATTTGACACCTGTTAGTGTGGTTTTCCATTTATTTTATAGGGTGACTCCAAATCCAGACTCCATGGATTGATAAATTTGATTTCCATTGATAATTTTTGTGTGATTTTGTTGTCAGCACATTCAACTATGTAAAGAAAAAAGTATTTAATAAGATTATTTCATTCATTCAGATCTAGGATGTGTTATTTTAGTGTTCCCTTAATCTTTTTTGAGCAGTGTATATTTATTACTACAAAAAATATATATTCTTAGTCCACCAACAGCCAGTCGACTAATTGGGATCAGCCCTAGTAACACTAAAACTGTTTGAACAGGCTATCTCCTAGGGCTGGGCGATATGGCCTACAAATCATATCTCCATTTATTTTTTTAACTTATGGGCGATTTACAATATATACAGTGTCTAAAAATGTTTAATGTTCTCTCTAAATAAGCTTTGTTGTACAATTAAAGGTCAAATACACAGCATTTCAAACAGCCAAACAGTCAGCAATAATCTAATGAATTCAGGATGTGAAATTAGGCTAAATATAAGCCCCACTAATTATTTCATTATTTTATCAAAATAGTTGAACCTGCTTTTTTGCATTAACTGATCTGGCTTTCAAGTCTGTCTATGAAAATGCCCTTTTTGTTACAAATTTAACTAGAACCATGCATAATTCACATTTACTAATAATGACTAACTTCTTGTAGCAGGCATTACAGAAAATGAACGCAGGTCTCATAAACAATCTCTCAAGCACAAGCCCACATGCTAGTGAGTAGCCAGCTAATCTTTATATTTCAAGTTTAGCCAACTTTGATCTGCTAGCTAATAAGGCAGAACAGTTTAGTTGTTATGAACACACCCTTCTGTCTCTCTCCAACTGTTTGATCAGGGTGCTAGCCTGTCCACTTTGTTCAGATGTTGAAATTAAGTGGCCTACCTTATTTCTCAGAATGAAAACTAGTGGCCAATTCCTTATATAGTTGTGTTTTGTGCTTATTGTACATTTATAAAAAACAGACTAGACAGCTTCCGTGGCTAATATGCTGCTAGCGGTACCGCAATGCCGCGCTTGAGTGACAAACGGATCATTATTTTTTCCAGAATCAATGTTAATTGATAGGCTACTCCTGTTTTAGTAGTGTCTGCTCTGCACGCTATTTAAGGAGTTGAGACATAAAAAGGGTATCGTTAAAAAGGTTAACTTCTCCTCTATTACAGTAAAATAATGTCTGTGTCTCGTGGATACCATTTTTATGTCTCTGTGTCCAGTATGACGGAAGTTCGAGTTAGTTTTGCGAGCCACTGCTAACTAGCGTTTGCGCAAAGACGGGTAGTCTTTGGGATCAACTAGCATGCTAAATATAGTCTAGTCTAATCACCCTATGTGTAAACGTTATTAATTTTTGTAAATGATGAAGGTAGCTAGTTATGGTTCAGTGGACTCAATAACAATGGCAGCAGAGTGTGCAGCATGGCCACCTGCCAAGAGGAAGGTGGATTGTTTGGCCCTTGCTGGTTGAGAGTGGAAACAAGGCTGTATTGTCCTCTCTGTATGGGACTCTCCATCTCTTCTAGTCCTCTCTTTTTTTCTCTCTCTTTTTTGTAACATTTAACTCTTACCCTTGTTAATGTCAATAATTTGTAAATGTTGTAATGTTCCATCTCAAACATCTCACATTTTAAGTCCAAGATGGCTGTTGGAACTCTCTGGATTTCACAGTTGTGGCCAGAATAATTTTTGAGAGGCGTGTTGAAATATGACAAATAGGACAGGGTATCATCAGCAGAAGATTTGTGATTTTGGATACATTCTACTTAGCCATTTGCTTTCAGATGTAGGTGTAGGTCAGGAAAGCCATGGGTAAGGTTTGCTTTAGGTCATTGTCATCATGTTGTACCTCAACATCCAAATCCCCTTTTTAGAAACGTGTATTATTGTGTTGTTCAGGAACAGAACATCTGCCAGCGCTACGACCAGCTGATGGAGGCGTGGGAGAAGAAGGTTGAGCGGATGGAGAACAACCCGCGTCGCAAGGCCAAGGATAGCCGCACCAGGGAGTACTACGAGAGACAGTTCCCTGAGATACGCAAGCAGAGAGAGCAACAGGAGCGCTTCCAGAGGTAAACTGAGGGAACGGGTAACTGGAATTAAACTTTTCTCTTATGCAGCCTGGAAGCTACGATGCAGCAGTAGAGCTGTGATGAATCTCAAAAGTCTTCCCTCGATTGCTTGCGTCTTCTCTCCTCGCCTACTTCTCAAAATGCATTGGCAAGGATCCCCTTCTACTGAAAATACAGGACAGGTGAAAGCAATACAATCAATGCCTCATATTATAAGAAATTGCTATCACTTGTCCTGTTTCTTTCAGATCAGTGCAGAATGATGGAGAGGTAACAAGGAGAGGAGGCCTCTTTTCACTATTGAGATGCATCCTAGGTGGTGTGCTGCAGGCAGTCTGCAGTGGGCCTATCAGCTGTCTGTGTCGGGGGTCAGAGTCCAGCCAGCGTCTGGCTGTTCCTGGCACACAGGCTTGGGTCTTTCTCTGAAATCTCCTAGCTAAGCAGGTCAGGGCTGTTTGTTCAGACTGATAGTACTAGACCAGGCAGTGAAAGAGCAAAAGCAATGATTAGCCAAAAAGGTACAGCCGATTTCTTCCCCATTGTTTTGTACACCAATGTCCCTGTTGTGTATTTTAGACTATTTCCTTTTGAGGATTGTTCTCATATTTTGGATGCTATCATTGTAGCTTTAAAGAGTCAACATTAGGGTCAGGATGTGTCATGGAAGGTTGATTCATGATGCTAACATTCCAGATTGAAAAGTTCATTGTATCCTTTTTAGAAGTATTATTCTACAGGAGAGAAAAGAGAAACTGATAGTCAACTATAAAGTAATTTCCCTCAAGTTTGAATGATTTTAGTCGACTTTAGTCACAACATGTTGGCTGTTTAATTTGATTCATGATCGCTCTTTGCCTTTTGTACTTTTGTTTACAGTGAAAAAAAAAAAAAGGGGGGCCATTGTTGCCCAAACAGCACAGTTGCACATTAAGTAATAAACCACCCTTGCAAGTCCTTCAGAACATTAAGGTAGTAACTGTACTCATTTTGGGTCCTTGTGATTTTATGTTTTCCACTTCAAAGGCTTTTGTGAAACTCTTCTTAAATTTAACTTTTTTAAAAATTATTACTTATTTTACAGTGCCTTCATAAAGTATTCACACCCCTTTACTTTTTCCACACTTTGCTGTGGTACAGCCTGAATTAAAAATGGATTAAATTGAGATTTTGTGTCACTGGCCTACACACAATACCCCATAATTTCAAAGTGGAATTATGTTTTTTAGAAATCTTTACAAATTAATTGAAAATGAAAGCTGAAATGTCTTGAGACAATAAGTATTCAACCCCTTTGTTATGACAAGCTTGCTTAACAAGTCACATAATAAGTTGCATGGACTCACTCTGTGTGCAATAACACTGTTTAACATGAGTTTGAATGACTACCTCATCTCTGTACCCCACACATACAATTATCTGTAAGGTCCCTCAGTTGAGCAGTGAATTTCAAACACAGAGACCAGGGAGGTTTAACAATACAAAGAAGGGAACCTATTAGTAGATTATTAAAATAAAATAAAAGCAGACATTGAATATCCCTTTGAGCATGGTGAAGTTGTTAATTACACTTTAGAAGGTGTATCGATCCACCCAGTCACTACAAAGATACAGGCGTCCTTCCTAATTTCACCATGAGGCAAATGGTGACTTTCAAACAGTTAGTTTAATGGCTGTGATAGGAGAAAACTGAGGATGGTTCAACAACATTGTAGTTACTCCACAATACTAACCTAATTGAGAGAGTGAAAAGGAAGCCTGTACAGAATAAAAATATATCAAAACATGCATCCTGTTTGGAACAAGGCACTAGAGTAATACTGCAAAAAATGTGGCAAAGCAATTCACTTCTTGTCCTGAATACAAAGAGTTATGTTTGGGGCAAATCAAATACAACACATTACTGAGTACCACTCTCCATATTTTCAAGCATATTGGTGGCTGCATCATGTTATGGGTATGCTTGTAATCATTAAGGACTGGGAAGTTTTTCAAGATAAAAAAAGAAACCTAGAGGAAAACCTGGTTCAGTCTGCTTTTCACCAGACACTGGGAGATGCATTCACCTTTCAGCAGAACAACAACATAAAACCTAAAACACAAGGCCAAATATACACTGGAGTTGCTTACCAAGACGACATAGAATGTTCCCGAGTGGCCTAGTTACAGTTTTGACTTAAATCGGCTTGAAAATCTATGGCAACACTTGAAAATGGCTGTCTAGCAATGATCAACAACCAACTTGACAGTGCTTGAATAATATTTACAGGAATAATGTGCAAATATTGTACAATCCAGGTGTGCAATGCTCTTAAGCCTTGTTCACATTGGCAGTTTGGAGTGACTCAAATCCTATTTATTAGCATATCTTATTCGAATCTGTTCATTTTCCAGCAGTCTGAACAGGCAAAAAGCACATGGACTCAAAATAGTTCAATCCACATTTCAAGCCACCTTCGTAGGTGGTTTGAAGTCAGATACAAATATGATTCCTGGCCATGTGACTTGTCTGAATATTCAAATCTGATTTATTTGCCCTCAAGTTGATTTTAGATTGTTATTCCACATATCTTGTTGCTTGCTAGCTACTCTCTTGACAGTTTGACAAGAACATGTGCTTGTTAATTGTTTACAAACAAATTAGTGAATGTGCTAGAAAGCTAAACAGCTAAACATTTGCTAGCCAAAAAGGACTCGTTTGTGAAAGTTGATTCATGTTATCCTTCGAGGCTTACCCTATGATTTTGAACATTTTAAGCAACTAGGAAACATCCATGGCAGGCATTGTTGTCCCCTTAGCTTGCTACATAACTTCTGAATGATAGGAAGCACAAGCATCACCACCACTCAGCCTACACCACTGCACACACACCCGTCGTTACTATGACAACTAGCGTAGTCTTGTCAGCAAATTACTGCTGTCTGAACACACCCAAATCCGATTTGGTCACTTGTAACTGGCTGTTTAGTCGGTAGACTAAAACGGATTTGAAAAACTAAACTGATTTGAACATTAAGGCCTGTAACGTGAACAAGGCTTTAGAGATTTACCCAGAAAGACTCACAGCTGTAATCGCTGCCAAAGGTGATTCTAACATGTATTGACTCATGGGTGTGAATACTTATGCAATGAGAAATTTCTAATATATTTGCAAACATTTCTAAAAACATGTTTTCACTTTGTCATTATGAGGTATTGTGTGTAGATGGGTGAGGGGGGAAAAAAACGATTTAATTCATTTTGAATTCTGTCTGTAATACAACAAAATGTGGACTAAGTCGAGTGGTATAAATACTTTCTGAATGCATTGTCGATAGTAGGTGGTGGAGAGGGAAGTTAACTTCCTGAATGCTAAAGCAACTTAATTTGTCAGCAGACCTAATGTTTTCCCAGCATTGTTTGCAGATTTCTCAGAAAACTGGTTTGATACAGCTCGATTTAGCCTTTTTTCCTTGAAGTGAAGAGGTGACAGAAGGGTCATGAGGAAGGGAGGGGCACCCTATGTGATGATGTGATGGCACCTATAGGGGTTTTGAAGAAGATTTCATCTGGTATTTTTAAACGGTCATTATATTTCCTGTAGTTTCTTAATTTCCTTGTCTTTTGTTCTCCCATTAGGGTTGGTCAGAGAGGAACTGGAATGTCTGCGACCATCGCCAGAAGCGAGCATGAGATTTCTGAAATCATCGACGGCCTTTCTGAACAGGAGGTGAGTGCTGTTAACTTTTAAACATCTGTTTGTCTGTTATAGCTCTTGTGGAAATGAACACACTTCACAAATATGAACATTCTTCACTGAACCATTGCCAAGTTTGAGTATTATTATGACCAAAGAGGTTCAGTCACCACCAACTGCCCAAAAATCCCCTCAAGGCATAGCCCACACTGATGTCATGATGGTCAAGACACTCTACTGATGGTGAATAGTTACAATACAATGCTAAACACATCACCACTTCCCCTAGTTCTCAGGAAGTGTAGCAGTGTCATTGGCTACGTCCTGTTCTACACCCTTCTCCTGAAGTGTGCACTTGCACACTTCCTGTAATGGATTTCACAAGGGTTGAAACTCTCAATCCAATGCTTTTAAATTATTAACGGGAAGTGTGCAAGTGCACACTCGGGGAGAAGGGTGGAGAATCGGGATGCAGCCATTGAATCAAGTTCAAGTTGTAACAAGGTTAACAAATGTAATCTCTAAACCCCTCCCCTCCACCCCCTCTCGTCCAATAGAACAACGAGAAGCAGATGAGACAGCTGTCCGTCATCCCGCCCATGATGTATGACACAGAGCAGAGGCGAGTCAGGTTCCTCAACATGAACGGCCTGATGGACGACCCAATGAAGGTGTACAAGGCTCGGCAGTTCATGAATGTGTGGACCGAACACGAGAAGGAGATTTTCAAGGAAAAGTGAGTACCTGTTATTTGGTTGTCCTTAATAGGTTGTCTATAGAGTTGTCCTTTTTAGTTACGTGATTTAAAAAAACTTAAATATCACATTTACATACAGTTGAAGTCGGAAGTTTACATACACCTTAGCCAAATACATTTAAACTCAGTTTTTCACAATTCCTGACATTTAATCCTAGTAAAAATTCCCTGTCTTAGGTCAGTTAGGATCACTACTTTATTTTAAGAATGTGAAATGTCAGACTAATAGTAGAGAGAATGATTTATTTCAGCTTTTATTTCTTTCATCACATTCCCAGTGGGTCAGAAGTTTACATACACTCAATTAGTATTTGGTAGCATTGCCTATGGAAGACCCATTTGCGACCAAGCTTTAACTTCCTGGCTGATGTCTTGAGATGTTGCTTCAATATATCCACATCATTTTCCTTCCTCATGATGCCATCTATTTTGTGAATTGCACCAGTCCCTCCTGCAGCAAAGCACTCCCACAGCATGATGCTGCCACCCCCGTGCTTCACGGTTGGGATGGTGTTCTTCGGCTTGCAAGCTTCCCTCTTTTTCCTACAGACATAACGATGGTCATTATGGGCAAACAGTTTTATTTTTGTTTCATCAGACCAGAGGACATTTCTCCAAAAAGTATGGTCTTTGTCCCCATGTGCAGTTGCAAACCGTAGTCTGGCTTTTTTATGGCGGTTTTGGAGCAGTGGCTTCTTCCTTTCTGAGCTGCCTTTCAGGTTATGTCGATATAGGACTTGTTTTACTGTGGATATAGATACTTTTGTACCTGTTTCCTCCAGCATCTTCACAAGGGCCTTTGCTGTTGTTCTGGGATTGATTTGCACTTTTCGCACCAAAGTACGTTCATCTCTAGGAGACAGAACGTGTCTCCTTCCTGAGCGGTATGACGGCTGCGTGGTCCCATGGTGTTTATACTTGGGTACTATTGTTTGTACAGATGAACGTGGTACCTTTAGGCATTTGGAAATTGCTCCCAAGGTTGAACCAGACTTTTGGAGGTCTACAATTCTTTTTCTGAGGTCTTGGCTGATTTCTTTAGATTTTCCCATGATGTCAAGCAAAGAGGCACTGAGTTTGAAGGTAGGCCTTGAAATACATCCACAGGTACTCCTCCAATTGACTGAAATGATGTCAATTAGCCTATCAGAAGCTTCTAAAGCCATGATATCATTTTCTGGAATTTTCCGAGCTGTTTAAAGGCACAGTCAACTTAGTGTATGTAAACTTCTGACCCACTGGAATTGTGATATAGTGAATTATAAGTGAAATAATCTGTCTGTAAACAATTGTTGGAAAAATTACTTGTGTCATGCACGAAGTAGATGTCCTAACTGACTTGCCAAAACTATAGTTTGTTAACAAGAAATGTGTGTAGTGGTTGAAAAACAAGTTTTAATGACTCCAACCTAAGTGTATGTAAACTTACGACTTCAACTGTAAGTATTCAGGCCCTTTATTCAGTACTTTGTCGAAGCACCTTTGGCAGCGATTACAGCCTTGAGTGTTCTTGGGTATGACGCTACGAGCTTGGCACACCTGTATTTGGGGAGTTTCTCCCATTCTTCTCTGCAGATCCGCTCAAGCTCTGTCAGGTTGGATGGGAAGCATCGCTGCACAGATATTTTCAGGTCTCTCCAGAGAAATTCGATCGGGTTAAAGTCTGGGCTCTGGCTGGGCCACTCAAGGACATTCAGAGAATTGTACCGAAGCCACTCCTGCGTTGTCTTGGCTGTGTGCTTAGGGTCGTTGAACATTCGCCCCAGTCTGAGGTCCTGAGCGCTCTGGAGCAGGTTTTCATCAAGGATCTCTCTGTACTTTGCTCCTTTCATCTTTCCCTCGATCCTGACTAGTCTCCCAGTCCCTGCCGCTAAAAACATCCCCACAGCATGATGCTGCCACAACCATGCTTCACCGTAGGGATGGTGCCAGGTTTCCTCCAGACGTGACGCTTGGCATTCAGGCCAAAGAGTTCAATCTAGGTTTCATCAGACCAGAGAGTCTTGTTTCTCATAATCTGAGATTCTTTAGGTGCCTTCTGGCAAACTCCAAGCGGGCTGTCATGTGTTTTTTACTGAGGCTTCCGTCTGGCCACTCTACTATAAAGGCCTGATTGGTGGAGTGCTGCACAGATGGTTGTCCTTCTGGAAGGTTCTCCCATCTCCACAACGAAACTCTGGAGCTCTGTCAGAGTGACCATTGGGTTTTTGGTCACCTCCCTGACCAAAGCCCTTCTCCCCCGATTGTTCAGTTTGGCCAGGCGGCCAGCTCTAGGAACAGTCTTGGTTGTTCCAAGCTTCTTCCATTTAAGAATGATGGAGGCCACTGTCTTCTTGGGGACCTTCAATGCTGCAGAAATGTTTTGGTACCCTTTCCAAGATCTACGGACAATTCATTCGACCTCATGGCTTGGTTTTTGCTCTGACATGCACTGTCAACTGTGGGACCTTATATAGACAGTTGTGTGCCTTTCCAAATCATGTCCAATCAGTTGAATTTACCACAGGTGGACTCCAATCAAGTTGTAGAAACATCTCAAGGATGATCAATGGAAACAGGATGCACCTGAGCTCAATTTCGAGTCTCATAGCAAAGGGTCTGAATAGTTATGTAAATAAGGTATTTCTGTTTTGTATTTTTAATACATTTGCAAACATTTCTAAAAACCTGTTTTCGCTTGTCATTATGGGGTATTGTGTGTAGATTGATGAGGAAAAACATTTATTTATAGGCCTTTATATCAATCTTGTACAGGATTATCTATTTTGGATGCAATTTTAATGGAATTGATGGAGAGAGAAAAAGACTGCTAGAGAGTGCTCGCTAGTGCACTGATTTAAAGCAACGATATAGGTGTTTTAAAACTCTGCAGCTGCAATTAATAAATAAATACAAATCTTTACAATTAAACAATTATGTGACCCCCGAAGCCAGATGGAGATGTGTAAATTAGACGTGCATTCTGTCTTTATTTTACTTTAGCATAGGCTATTCTGCAGCAAATGTAGGTCTACCTGTCGCAATAAAACAAAAATCACCATGTTGAGATGATAGGTGTACAGTGAGGGGAAAAAAGTATTTGATCCCCTGCTGATTTTGTACGTTTGCCCACTGACAAAGAAATGATCAGTCTATAATTTTAATGGTAGGTTTATTTGAACAGTGAGAGACAGAATAACAACAACAAAATCCAGAAAAACAAATGTCAAAAATGTTATAAATTGATTTGCATTTTAATGAGGGAAATAAGTATTTGACCCCCTCTCAATCAGAAAGATTTCTGGCTCCCAGGTGTCTTTTATACAGGTATCGAGCTGAGATTAGGAGCACACTCTTAAAGGGAGTGCTCCTAATCTCAGTTTGTTATCTGTATAAAAGACACCTGTCCACAGAAGCAATCAATCAATCAAACTCTCCACCATGACCAAGACCAAAGAGCTCTCCAAGGATGTCAGGGACAAGATTGTAGACCTACACAAGGCTGGAATGGGCTACAAGACCATCGCCAAGCAGCTTGGTGAGAAGGTGACAACAGTTGGTGCGATTATTCGCAAATGGAAGAAACACAAAATAACTGTCAATCTCCCTCGGCCTGGGGCTCCATGCAAGATCTCACCTCGTGGAGTTGCAATGATCATGAGAACGGTAAGGAATCAGCCCAGAACTACACGGGAGGATCTTGTCAATGATCTCAAGGCAGCTGGGACCATAGTCACCAAGAAAACAATTGGTAACACACTACGCCGTGAAGGACTGAAATCCTGCAGCGCCCGCAAGGTCCCCCTGCTCAAGAAAGCACATATACAGGCCCGTCTGAAGTTTGCCAATGAACATCTGAATGATTCAGAGTAGAACTGGGTGAAAGTGTTGTGGTCAGATGAGACCAAAATCGAGCTCTTTGGCATCAACTCAACTCGCCGTGTTTGGAGGAGGAAGAATGCTGCCTATGACCCCAAGATCCACAGATACTTCTCTGACCTCTTGACTAGTGCTTTGTGGAAAAGGGAAATTCAAAACATATTAGTCCCTCATAATGATTTTCATTTTGTTTCCCACCACAAATCAGGTTCACTTGGAATTCTAGAATGTAAAATGTATTAAATGCCTGCCGAGTATGGAAAAGCGTTTAGCGACTGTAGGCTGCAAAAAAAAATTATGGAGCTCAGTGGCATCCTTAGTCAACATTGTATTCTTTGACTTTGCAGAAGCTCTTTGGCTATGATTTTGAGAGGCGATACATTTCTTTAGCAACATTCCTCGGCTGTATACCTAAACA